TGCTTTCGGAGGCGCAACTTTTTGTTTTGTTAATTTTAATTAGTGTTGCATACATTTAGGAGGACGTTAGTGGTAGTCAAGTGCACTCTACATTTGGTATTTAAGAGTCCGCTTCTTATTATGTTAAAGTTTAAACGAAGAATTCTTGTGTATACATGCATATATAAATATATATCCATAGGTTTCTTTTGATGAAATTTTGTAGTCAGATAATATTTTGCATTTTAAGGTTATCTAAACAGGGCCGCTGAAGTTTAGTGGTTTGAAGTACGCATTTGAATTCTGCACTTTCAGTCCGAACGGAGACTTTATTTTTATTTTATTATTTTTTTTTTTTTTTGAAAAGCTCTTTTTTCCCGTCAGAATACGGTCGGAGGTTGGTCCTTGCCTGTCGAGGGGTGACTACTAAAAAAATTGCAGTTCACACTCGGCGTAAAGCTGTAACATATTGTGTAATTGCCAATGCATTATTATTATTATTAAGTAGGCCTTATCTCCGAGAATATTCGTATAAGGTTGCCACCTATTCGAAATTATTTACAAACTAAATAAAATATCATAATATGGGTTTAAAATGGAAAGTAATATGAAAATTCCCAATTCAGATATCCTTTAAACAGGGTTGCCACCTATTTTGCATTGTGTGATTATTTAATTTTTTGTTTAGAAAATTAAAATACAATATTACTCTTTATGGGTACTAAAATAAAGCTCTTAAACAATGCCTATATAGTAAATATTAGTATTAAATATTAGTGTAAGTTCGACACTTATTTTCGATTTTACAAAATTTAACAAAATTAACATATTATGAAAGGTATTTTTGAGAACTTCAATTCAGAAATATTTTCATTGAGGGTTACAACGTTTTTTTATACCAATTTCAACGAGGGTTTCCACCTAACTTTTAATGTCAGGTGTTTTTTTTTTTAATTTATTAGATTCATAACGTAGACATATTAATACCCGAGCGCAATTGCGCACAAGGGAATTAAAACTTCGTTCGGATAAAGGTTGTTTGTAACAGCCTAAAGGAATCGAGATAGATATAAACAAATGCACACCAAAATGCGCAGAATGAAATCGATTAGGCCGAGTCTGTTTGACCGTCCGTCTGACTGTGCACACTTCAACTCCAGTAGAAATTAAGATATCTTAACGGACTTTCGTACGTGTATTTCTTCAAAGCCATGTATGGATGGTATTGAAAATGGGCCAAATCGGACGATAACCCCGCCTACTTCTCATGTAACAGTAGTTGCTAAAATAAATAAATTGCGGTATTTTATTAACTACTGAATCTTATTCACTCTAAATTGATATTAACAATGACCTTTTTTTTTGGCGGAAAGTGAGAACATTATAAATTTTTAGTAAATGGACGTATTTGATTCTATAAAACCATAGTCAAGTCAATTATGTTTTATGGAGTTCTCGTCTGGTGAAATACAACAGCGGGAGAAGACTATGCTAGTCAATAAGCGAGCGAAAGCAACGAAATTTCCTCATTGGAAGAAGTGACGTAATCAGGACCATTTGCATCATAGCCGTTAGCGTTATGCTTAATACAGCGCCTCTCAACATCGCAGGTAAAGCAGCTGTAACGGTTGCTTAACTGACTCGAGATTGGGAAGCTATATTATTCTTGGAGTATTCGATTTTATTACTTAGCTCTTTCTCCACGAATATCTCATCAAGAGATAAGAGAACGAGGATCAGCGGTTGGAAGGAGGCATCGGCAACATTTACGCGGATGGACCGAAGCTTAATGGAAAGATCGGTATATGGATATTTTTCCAGGAACTATCAATCAACCCTAAATTTAGGCTTTCAGATCACTGTGGTGTTTTTCAAGCTGTAATCAACGAAGCAGTTGATCGGCTGCTGCTGCGCGTGATAACGGTAAGGAAAGTTGATATCTACTCCGGCAGTTAAGCGGCAATCAGAGCGTTGCGCTTGCTTATTGTACTCCCAAAACTAGGAGGGTAATGCCTTACAGTCGCATCGGACTATTAACTTGTTAGACTAGTATAAGTGCACTGACAGATCACTATCCGATTAGGACTCACGAAGTGAGATTAAACATCATACCGGACCCTCAGCTTTTCCTCTTAAATGGCCCAGCTTTCACAAGAATGCGGTTTAGACAACTGGGATTGTACTTTATAACCAGCCCGGCGGATCGCTCTGTTTTCGGCACGCAGCTATTTTTGTTTAAACTTAGGTTAGACCTCCTTAACTTAACCTAACCTAACAGAGAGACGCCCATCGATTTATTTACCAAGCGCCAGGCACAGGCACCGGGCCGGTTTTTCAATGTCTGGCTATCACTACTTGCCGGTGAAACATCATTATCGACGTTTTCAACATCATTCATATAACATGTAATCGATAAAGCAGTCGGTGTGCTTAACCGGAGGTTCTACCTCCGATTAGTGCTAATCAGACATTGAAAAACCGGCCCTAAGTGTTGTATTGCAAAATAAGAGATGACATATATATCCGCTTTTTTTAGAATTTTGATTGGTAATAGCAAAAATATGGTTCATTATGCTTTAAAAATATCTGTGTGAAATTTGGAATTTTTTGGTCAATATCCTTGGCTCGCCTAAGTCCATCAAAGTTCAATATGTTTAAAAAATAAAAATTAATTAATAAATGAATTAATAATTTTTTTTTTTTACAAAAATTGCAATAATCTTCGAAAGTATTAGTCCTACATAATTTGGTATATGGACCTTTTTTGTAGAGTATCGAAGTTAGCTAAATTTTTTTTTTTAGTACTTGAACTTTGATGGACTTGGGCGAGCCTAGGATATTAAACAAAAATTTTCATATTTCGCCAGGTTCTTTTCAGAGCACAATGAACCATATTTTTGCTGTCACCAAACAAAATTCTAAAAAAGCAGATTTTCGGCCCACGCTAATAAATATGTATGTACCTAAAATAAAATATAAAATTGCTAATTTACGCCACGATAAAAAGTATAAATACGTGCCGCATATGACCTAAGAATGGTGTCCAAAAAGGTAAGATGGCAACCGAATCGAGATAGTTGAGAATGTAGTTTCGGTCACAACGCATTTATAAATAATTTTTGCAGGAGTTTCAATATATAACTTACTTTCCACACATATCAAAAGGCATCTCTTTATATAGTAACGTTGGCAGTGATTAAAACACTAAGCATTTATCGTTTTGGGCGGAATTATTGCCCGCATGTTTTGAAAATTTAAAAACATTTCTTTCCTGAATATTTCAATAAATATTTGCCCCCAACGGATGGCATTTCGCTGGGTATTATCAAAGAATATAAAAAAAGGAAACTCTATACATAGCTTGCATCTAATTGGATACCTTTTCTGAAATTGAATATTCAAAGAAAAATTCAACTCTCAATGTCAAAAAAATTTACCGCGAAATTATATATATTTTTACTAGTATTAGTATGCTTACATATGAACGCATTTTCTCGATCATTCACTGATGCTTCCAATGAAAGATGACATATCAATGGCAAGACATGGGCGAGTCAAGTGAAGTAATAAAATAAGTAAACCACAAAATGCCGAAAACTCCCATCTAGACAAACCACAAAAGCGAGGCATTTAAAACTACAAATACACTTACATACATATGAGTATAAACATAAGAGTGCACCACTCTCCATACAAAAAAAAAAAAAGAGAAACAAAATCGGTAGGTAAGGTTTTTCCATCGGAATTATACAAGTTATAATAGTTTAAGACAGCCACCAAAATATTTCGGTAAAATCTAAAGTTTTAATCCGCTGGTCCCATCTGGAAATACCTCAAAATTCGATTTTTTGAATAAAATTAGTTTTAGATTATTATTTTTCTAAAAAATCACTTATATGTTGGAACAGTTTAAGCTTATAAGGTTTGCATAAAACTGTATAAAAAATTTTACAGCGGCATCAAAATAATGATAATTTTGGTGGCATTTTTAAATCGTGAGCTAAATTGTAATATTTTTCCCAACTATTTATTTTGGCGGAAGTTGTAAAATTTGACACATTTTATATTTACGGTGAAATTTCGCCACTTTTTTTTTTTGGTGATACACCCTAATGTACATGCATGTTTGCATAGGCCTTATGATCGCAGTTAATTGAATTTACTAAGTGGCGCGATCATTGTCAAAAGGGCGTATTAATGTGCTTGCACACTCGTAAGTCGACTAGCTTTGGCCTTTAGGTGGTGGTAATTCGAGTACCAAAATAAAACAAAAACAAACAAACTATATAAAAAAAACGCAAGCACGGGAGTTATTTGTGGTAATTTGGAAAAGTGCGTATCGCATTTTATCACTGACATGCCAACGACTCGGCTGATGAAGATAGGCGGGTAAATATTTGCTTATGCATATTTGTATGTGCGTACATACATACGATTATCATTGTGGTTATTTTATTAAATTAATATTAAATTCCACGCCGTTGTTCATGAAAACTGCACGAAAAGTGAGTACAAGGGCAATTTGTGGAGATGATATGCGATAATGGCAATTTTTACTTAATCGCTGTTCAAAATCTGATTCCGAAGAAATGAGTCAGTGTTGAAGGTCGCAGCAGGCGTGTAGGCTGCCTTCGAGGGTTAAAATAAAATTGACTGGATTAAATAATATGCTGTTTGCTTAAAGTATATTTTATATTTTATTATTAGTCATTTTATATAACTATTTATACATTCGAGTTAAATGCTATTTAAAATATTATTTTATAAACTCTACATATTTGTTAATAATATAAAATTTTACAAACGATATGTATGTACATATGTATGTATGTAAGTATGTTTGCTAATTTGGAGATTTGTAAATTACATAAAGTTGATCGTTGTTGATCCGAGTTTATTTACATATTGCTCTGCCAAGTGAGACATATTCATAATTAAAGTTCACAGTGCAACACACGCTCATGTATTATTTTGTTTTCATTTATTTTTATTTATCATTAAATGGCAGCATTGTCGTTTTATAATTACTTAAATTTATACAACTATTGACTTATGGTTTATTAACCATTTCGCAACTTATTAACTTAGTTAAATGTAATACTTAGCGCATACAACTTAATCGGTTTTTCATTTCTCTTTTCTTTGAGCTTTTTATTTACTTATATTTTGCAGCAAATAATGAACTCATTCATTTAAGTTTTTTATGCAGATACTTCCTGGTTTTATGCTGGCGGTAATGGCAAGTGTTCACCTTCTGGCTGGAAGCCATTCTCATCGGCCACGTAGCGCAGGGTGATGAGGTTTCCTTCCGGATCCGGGTAGGAGTATAAGCCTGTCTGCACTAACACCAACTCTTCGTGCTCATCAATCACCTGGCCATCGGTGGATTCCTGTTTTGGCACAAGAATTCTCTTCAAGTAGCCAGCGTTTTCGACCTTGATGCCATTGGATGTTTCGTAACTGA